ATTACATGCAATACTCCTCTACAATATACCTATACATATATCGCATTCTTGTCTTTATTTTCTTTTATTTCCATAAACAGCGTCAAAACTCTGCTTCCCACTCTAAAATTAGTCTCACACCATGAATTGATCTCGGGCAGAGAGCGAAATTTAAAAATTATTTGATTTAAAAATTCAATTCCAATGTTTAAATATCGCTGTGTATAAATGAAATAAGTTAACGTTTTTCTCATTGTTTTCTAGACAGAAAAGCATTTTTCTGAAAATCCCTCTTTTAAAATCAGAAATTACTTCATTATAATTTTTTTTCATTTCAGACTGGTATAATGAATTTAATATTTGAAATACTAACATAAGAGGCCCTTGGTCTTATGCTCACCTGTGCATTTTATGCCCACTTTGATAAAGATATACATATTTTATGTAAATTATAGAATAATCTTTACGGCTAGCTAGCGTACGTTTGGTTTGTTCCCGTATTGCACATATTTGAATTTCAGGTATTGAAAAAAGTGTGCAAAACGGGAATCTGTCTACATAACATTATTACTTAATCGTAATAGTCTATATCAAAGTTGTGATTTGAGAGAAGGAAAACCTACGGGACGAATAGGAAGAAAAATTGATTAAATTTGCATTTGAAATTTTGATCTATTTCATTTCATTTCATAATGAGAAAAAAAAACTAAAACATAAAAAAATATCATGAATACTAATCAAAGCTATCACTATATTCATATGATACTAACTGTTATTTTTTTTTTTTTTATTAATTAAGATTGAATCCATTTACTCATTCTTTTTATCTTTATGAAATTAAAAAAGCAGGGTGAACTGCAATTATCAACTTCATCTTCAGTTTGCTGGACAAGTTAAATTTTCAAAATTTATTCTTTTAAATATATATAATAATTAATTTTAAAGCCGAAGGGATAATATTAAAGTCGGATGGCATTGTTTAAACTAAAATAAGGAAATAAACTTTAGAGAGTTTCCCAATTTTTTTTTTTTAATGAAAGCATTGAAAAATATAATTTTGATATAAATATGGTAAGAAATGCTCTCCTAGTTTTAATATTTCAAGAGTATATTGACCTGATAATTTCCAGTCTTGGGATATTTTTTTGAATTACTAATCTGTTTTGGGTAAACACTTAGGTCTAAGGCATCACATCAGGCCATATCTTCACGAAATTTCAAAAACATATAAATATATTTGAATTCAAAATTCACAAAGACCCATTATTATTTTTTGAAATGATGTTTTCCAGAAAACAATGGCAATGATTCATCATGTGAAGAATTCAACATATATATATATTACACTCTGCTGCTCATATTGAATCTTTGGGGAATAGATTGTCACGGTTTATTAAGAGAGGGAAAGGTGTTTGTTGCACATGAGCATCCAGAAAAAACGACAGAGAAAAATATAAAGCAGAGATTTGTCAAGTGAATTTGAATTATCAAAGTGCTGTAGGATGGTTTTTATATAAATTACTAACAGTAAAAATTGACATTTTCAATCTCTGTTCGGTGAAAAAGCAAGTGGAAAAGTAAAGAAGAATCCACTTAGATTTCTTACAAAATACATGCAGAAGGGATTGTAAAACTCGTTATTCTGACAGGCAATGCAGCATTATGTAACTGTCTTCGGGATGAGGTGTGGGTGTCTGAAATATTTTCTAGGGCACTTTACCATGTAAATTAATATTAGTTTAACTTTATTAATGACAATGGAAATTTTATTGAGAGGGAGGTTCCAGATCCCTGAACTAACGTTGCAATGAGATTGCTTACGACCCAAAATTGGCGTTTTCATAAGAACACATGTATGTTTTGTTGGTAATTTGATGTTCACTGTTGACAAGTTTAAAATGTGATTATTTTCCTTATTGTTTTCTGTCTCTTATTTTTGCATGTGTTTATATATTAATGTCTTATTTTGTGCAGACATTAAACAAGACCGGATCATCCTCTCGGGATAGAAACCTAACAAAATTTGAAACTTTAAATTTCAATAATTAAATGTTATGTACGAAGTTTTATGCACGCTTTTGATAAATAATAGCAATATACACTCACAAACCATATCATTTCACAAGAACACTTAGAGTAATAACAATACACGAACCTAGCTGCATCCGAAAGTCATTCCACTTAACATGTTTAACGCCTTCGTTAATAATTCTGTATTGTTGACATGCATTTAAAGTTTGATTGATTGCTGTTTTACGTTCTGTTTGAGAATTTTTCACTCATATAGAGACGTCACCATATATCGGTGAAGGGCTTCGAATTTAGACCTTTACACGGCACTCAGGGCCATTGAGCAGTGAGTGTTCTTTATCGTACCAACGCCTATCGTGACAAGGGGCCTCGGTTTTTCAGGTCTCATTCGAAGGACCCGCAACTTTCACCTCAAAATGCCTAGCGTTTGGCGAAGGAACATTTGCTACCTATTTTTTTATCGACTGAGGTCAGTCTCGGCCGTGATTCGAACACACGACTTTCCGATCACGCATATAATTTGAGTTGTAATATGTATTGTAAAATATCCTTTTTGGTAAGATAATTAACAATAATTTTGAAAATAAATAGGGTTTGACATACATACAATGTGCGAGAATTATGCTAAGATTGATGATCCTAAGTACTATGGCTATCTTTCAGGGAGTTTTTTTTCCAAAAAGCTTCTACACTAAACATATGCACATTAGCTATGCTATATCCCGTAAAATGACGGAAATTCATGAGTATAAAATGAATCGACATATAGCGTGAAGTGTGTTAAACATGGAAAGAAAGATAAGGGTCTACCTTTCGGTACTCATCCACTCAATATCTCTCTGTTTTGGATTTGAAAGCAGACATGAGAATACAAGAGCTCTTATTTTTAATTTATTTCTCAAGGTATGAGTAAAACTAAACTGGATTTTATCTAACTTTTTTTTTTTAAAAAATTCTTTATTTTTGTTTTACAAATTCAGCAAAAAACATTCAAATCATTTATCTGAAAAATATAGAAGGCGCAATTTTTTTTATTTGAGAGAGAGTTGAAGAGAAAGATTGAGGAAAAGAGAAAGTTGCATGCAGTGTTAGCATATATACATGTATAGAAAACAATCATTGTCAAAGTTGAGCTGATTTACACATTTTAAAACGATTTTTAATAAAACAAGTGTTATAACGAGTGTTATCAGTGAGTTCTTATCTGTGTTTATAGACGTGAGTGTGTGAAAGAGTGTGCCTAATTTTACTTTCTTTCTGAAAATGAAGAATGTTGCTGTTGTTGACAAATGGTCAGCACCTCCACCTCTGTCCAGATAACTGTCATTGGAATGGTCATTGTGACCTTCACAGAGGTCACTGTACCTGTTATGATGGTTTCTATAACAACGACTGTACCGGAGACTGTGGGTGTCAAGGGCACGGAGTTTGTAACCCAGGTAACCATCCTCTCTAGCTAACTATCTACAGCAGGTAGCTATCCTCTCTAGATAACTATTTAGAGCAGGTATAGCCATCCTCTCTGAGAATCTAACTACAGCAGGTAACCATCCTCTCTAGGCAACTATCAAAATCAGGTAACCATCCTCTCTAGGTAACTATCAAAATCAGGTAACCATCCTCTCTAGGTAACTATCAAAATCAGGTAACCATCCTCTCTAGGTAACTATCTACAGCAGACCATCCTCCTTAGGCAAATATCTAAATCAGGTATCCATACTATCATACTATCTAGGTAACTATCTACAACAGGTAACCACCACCCTCTCTAGGTAACTATCTACAACAGGTATCCATCCTCTCTAGGTAACTATCTACAACAGGTAGCCATCCTCTCTAGGTTAGTATCTACAACAGGTATCCATCCTCTCTAGGTAACTGTCTATAACAGGTAACCACCCTCTCTAGGTAACTATCTACAACAGGTAACCATCCTCTCTAGGTTAGTATCTACAACAGGTATCTATCCTCTCTAGGTAACTGTCTATAACAGGTAACCACCCTCTCTAGGTAACTATCTACAACAGATAACCATCCTCTCTAGGTTAGTATCTACAACAGGTAACCACCCTCTCAAGGTAACTATCTACAACAGATAACCACCCTCTCACGGTAACCGTCTACAGCAGGTAACCATCCATATTTTATTTATTATTTCTTTTCCTTTGAACTACATATACAAAGTAGTCATCTTATCATAGAACATAGTTAAAAACATTTGAAAAGGTTAAAATTTGTTGTTTTTTATGTTATGAAATGAATTACATTCTGTTCAACTTGATTTGCATCCTCATATTCAGTGTGCATTGATTAAGGCAGATGTGGGTATTCCATTGATGGTGTTCACTACGCAAAAAGAAAATAATAATGTAAAAGAAGCCGATTGTTCTATCCATATACTGCAAAAACTTTCAGATAATTCTTAATTAACATTGTAGATCATACTTGTCAGTGTGACGAGGGATGGAAATGGTCCGATCACGACAAAAAGTGTGTCTGGGATTGTCACTGTTCTAACGGTAACACCTAACCATGAATATGTTAATTAGGGACGCCCTTGTAAAGATGACGTCATAATGGGTTTATTAGAATAATATTTTACAGGCCAGTCTTGCATGGCGCCGGGAGTGTGTGGCTGCACTCATGCTTGTCAGTATGGTACTTGTTGGAATTCTCAGTGTGAATGCTGGGAAGGCTATAAGGGGGAAACGTGTAATGTTCTAGATGTAGATATGTAAGTAAATATAAGCATATGTAAGTAAAATAATAGTGTTCTTTCTGCTGTAAATTTGTGTAGAGAGTAAACATTTTAAAATTACTTAATAACATTCGTGTTAACACGTTTTTGTCAAATAGAGATTATCACCAAATAAAACAAAGTGTTCATCCGAATCAAATGTCATATTCAGGATGTTTAACAAAGACCTATTCATTATATTTTGATATTGCCTCAGCTCTGACAAGAGTTTTTGGACATCCTTTTTATCAGAATGTCTAACAGGAATTCCTCGGTTGGGGTAAATCTGGGGGGACTCACATACTACTCCTCCGAGATCAAATTTGTCGACGTAGCCAAAGAGTCGTCTAACTGGATAACTCAACGATGGGGGAACCATGCTTGGGACACTCATGAACTGGCAAAAGTTAATATGAGACAAGATGGGTATCCTGCAAGCTTACCAGGTGATTTCAGATATCATGAAACTCACACGCAGTTTTTACAGTTATCATTATTTACTCGTACTTGTTTTTTTTTTTTTTTTCATTTTAATGCAATTAAATTTAATTAAGAACATGGCAATAGTTTGTTAACTCAATATGAGCATTAAGATATATATATATATCGATTTTTGGAAACTTTAATCTGCTTTTAGTTTTGGACTATACGGAAGGGTTTCATTTAATAGGAAGAAGAATAATGATGTTTGGCCCGTGGGCCTTCACAGTCTTTGAAAAGTCATTGTCACTTAAATTTAGCTATCATATTATATTCTCATTGATGAAATATGGAGATAACGAACAGCAATCAAGCTCAAAAGTCCATGGAAACAATAAAAATTGGGAGCAGAACAATCACAAACTCTAAAAACATCAGAGGTGGGATCAGGTGCCATGGAGGAGTGAGCATCCCCTGATTTGAGAATAAAAGTAAAGTAAAATACATGTAAATCCGATAGACAATACAGTACTTAGTAGTAATCAATTTTAACTTCAAATTGAAGTGTTTCAAGAGAGTGAGATTTTGTGAAGAACAGAGAGTGTTTGATTTTTTATTTTTTTTTTACATATTGCAAGGCTTTCATCAGATGTGTTTTTTTTTTATTTACATTTTCCAAGCCTTCATTAGATCAGTCATTTTTTTCAAATGAAAAGAAAGAAATTGTTTTGTAGCTTACTTTCTAATTTTCTGTGCAGATGATATGGCGCTTGAAAAGTTGGTGCTTCGTTCTTTGTCACACCCACCCTCCGGGGTTTACACAATTCTTTATGACGGTGAAGGAGACATTGAAATCAATCTTCTGCATTATCAAAAAGTATACACCGGAAAAGGTACAGAACAATTCAGTTATTCCGGGAAAACAGAGATCGAACAAAGTTTTCTGTTTAAAGTTTCCATGTCCCACAACTCAGTAAAGCATTAATAATTACACAAGAAACGTGTTTAATCATGGAAATCAACTTTGTATTTATTTGTTCAATTTACCCTAGTCTGTGGTTTATCTAATTTAGGACGTATGTTGATCAACGTAACGATTGGTCAGGCTGGTATCGGTATAAAACTTCGACGAACCAATCCGGCGAACCCTCTACACAATCTACGTGTCATTCTCCCGGGGTTTGAAGCCAGACATGAACATTTTCCGTTTTATCCGCTATTTCTAGAGAGTTTGGTCAGATATTCCGAGTTCAGATACATGGATTTCCTTCATACAAATGGTCACACAGTAAGCCAATCACTAAAAATTTACCTCACTAGAATATTACAATCAATCTAATTTGTTTCTTCACTTTGATCGTATTTTTTCATTGAAAGCTGTAAGGTTTTTTACAGGATGGATTTTTGGTATTGATAATATCTTTTTGATACTCAAATTCCATTGTACTATTTAAATACAGTATCTTTTAAATGGCGTACCTACCATTTTGAAAACATGTTCAAGTGTAGGCCTACATGCATTGGTTTAATTTGAAATTTCATTTGTTTGATATCTCTAACATTTAATTTCTTTTTTTCTCTCATAATTAGCCCGAACCAACAACATGGGGTAGCCGAAAACACACAACCTACCACACCCAAGCAGGAACGGAGGGAGGTTCCCTTGAATACGCCATTTTACTATCCAACATGCTGGGAGCCAATCCGTGGTTCAACATGCCTCATGCAGCAGACGATAATTTTGTCATGCAGTTTGCCAAACAAGTGAATCAAACCCTAAGACCAGATTTAAGGGTTTGTTGTTACAGTAGTTGACCTTCCTTATTCTTTGATATACAGTTAAAGTATATCATTGAGGGAGTTAGCAAGATTCCAGTTCCCCAAGGCTAGGACTATTTTCCGATGCGAAGGGAAATAGTCCTGGTCGAGGGAAACTGGAATCTTGCTAACTCCCTCAATGGTTTACTATTTAACAGTTTTATTATACCGATATAAAAATAAAATTTATAGGATTGCAGATAAGAGATAACGGGGAATTGACTTTCAAAGCAGGGATTAGTTCATTTGACTAACACACGGTGATTAATCCATTTACATATTAAACCACTACAAAGGTAAAATCTAGAGTTTTCGAAGCAGGGATTAACTTATTTGACTGACGCACGGGGATTAGTCTATTCTATTCACGGCGATTTCAGGGAATTATTCACACCTAACAATCTAATTTTATAAAGGAAAAAAATCATTAGAGGTATAATATAATAATTATTATAAAAAGGATCGTTTTAATATTTAGAGTTGAAATTATTAATGACTTTCAGGTATATGTGGAATATTCAAATGAAGTGTGGAATGGTATATTTCGTCAGAATCATTTTGCTACAGAGAAAGGTCACAGTTCAGGGTTAGATTCTGGTTGGAAGGCTGCTTTCAAATATTACAACAAACGCTCTCATGAAATGGCACAGATATGGAGATCGGTATGTATGATGTAAATAAAGAATTCGCCAATTGTATGACATACCTGAATTTTTCTAAGTCTCTCTGCATGTTAATAAAGCTCTCTAAAATTCATATATCTAAAGTAAAGGCGAAAAAGTCCTCTGCAGAGAGATAACTGAAATCTTGATATGTGACTAAATTTCCTTCAAAATTTAATTAATTCTGAAATGAAATTGCACATCCGCCTGGCATTGCCAATCATACATCCGCCTGGCATTACCAATCGTACATCCGCCTGGCATTACCAATCAATCTTGCTGCCGTTGAAGATGAAGTTTGCGTTCTCAACGATTTTACATCTTCAATTGTTTTTTTTCAAAATTGAAAGTTTGCATTTCATTATGATATCTCAATTTGTTTGAATTTAATTTTGACATCTATATTTTGTTCCATTGAAAATCGTGTTGATATCTATATTTGTTTCATTGAATATCATTTTGATATCCATCTTTTGTCTTAATTATTCACCATCTTTTCGGCCATTATTTCCCTACTGAAAGCAGGGTCTCTCTTAGTTAAAAATATATTTCTCAATGCATAGAATTACTTGTAGATTTATGGTGCCTCTGATAAATTAGTCCTTGCCTGGGCCTGGCAGACAGGATATCAAGATTATACTCGACAGGCTCTAGAAGACCTGGGAACGAGGGTGAACGACTTCACTGCTCTGGCTATAACTGGATACTTTACTTGTGACTTGACCTCCAAACACGTAAATATCATTGTTCCTGAATATATATTCTTTGGGCTGATTTCTGAGTTTTCTTGGAGCATTTTGATAATTCTTTATCCTTAACATTTTTAAAAATAGATACAAGAACTTCAAAATACCTCACAGTGAAAGGACAAAAGATTATAATGCAGTAAAATGAAATTTTACTTTAAATACAAAAACCAACTTTTGTTTCAAACAGAACAGCTTCCTATAGGTGCCTGCCATTCTCCTGATTTGTAATCATTAACTAATCAATGTATTTCAGATTTCATCATTACCAAGCATGACTTACAACGAAGTTTTGTCCATATGTACAAACTACATTCAGAACAAGACAAGATCATCTTTCTCTTATTTTATGGGTCTTGCAAAGGTACATGCTTCAGTCATCTTTTTTTTTACACGACTGTAACATTTTTTGTTATAGTTGCTTGTCTTGAGAGGTCTATTCTGTCGGTAAAGTGTGATAAACTTTCAGGCTCGTAATTTACATTTGTTGATGTACGAAGGAGGACAGCACATTGTAGAGCATGCGCCTCAACACGAACAAATAACAAACAAACTCGTGGACATCAATGAAAATGACATCATGGAGACCTTGAATCGTAATCTTTTAGATGTTTGGAACGACGTTGTTACTAAGCACAGCACTTCCGTAGGTAAGCAAACAGTCCACTTCTTCATTTGCTATATTTTATAATGCAATGACAAAAAAAAATGATTGTGGATAAATGTCTAGTCTCTATGAAATAAAGCCGTTATTTTAGCTTACTTGAGCCAAAGGCTTCAATGAGCTTTTCTGATCGAAGCCAGAGTGTGTCCTTCCAGCTATCTGTCTGTCGTCTGTAAACTTTTCACATTTCCTACTTCTTCTCAAGAACCACTGGGCCAATTTCAATCAAATTTGTCTTAAAGCATCCTTGGATGAGGGGGATTAAAGGTACTCCGCCGAAATATGGCTGAAATATTGCCGACTCGGTGTTAAGCAATAATCAATCAATCAAACCCTTTCCTATTTTCCAGTTAAAATTCAAATCAAATGAGAGAGAGAGAGAGAGAGAGAGAGAGAGATTGTTTGTAGAAGACCACTAGTATTCAATTTTTCGTTTTCTATAGGTGGTTTATTTAATTACTTTTCATCATGTGGCCAATACTCCAAATACGGAAGTTGGGGCATGCTGGAATACACAGGACAACCTTATTCTTCTGCTCCTAAATACCGGGCAGTTCAGAAGTTCATTTCTTCACAGAGCCATAACACAGAAGTAGCACCCAGATGTAGTTTTGTGGATTTAGGGAGTGTTAGTTATGGGTGTTTTCTGGTTGGTAATAGACCATATTGTGGTTCTACGACAGACAGAGGACAGAAGTGGACAGTAAGTTCTAAACAGATTGTGTCTTAATTTTATTTTCAATTGTGTAAAAAACATTTTTTTTCTTCAATATCGTAAACATTTAGTCCGTTAGTTTGACAAAGGTCCGCTTATTTTAGTTTACGGTTGCATGTTTCCGAAGTGTACGCCTCTATGTATGCCCCGTTTTGCAAATTTAAACAGACCTTGTCAGCATTATTTACATTTGTCCATAAGCTCTCCACTTTGTCTAGTTTTGAACAAATTCAGTTTATATTGTACATGTTGTATATCTATAGTCAGTTAATTCAAAATATGCAACACGATATTTCTGTCGAAATCTTACCGTAACCTGCTTTCTTCTATAGATATACCTGACATTAATTAATAATACTTTCGTTTTCTTTGATCTAGTCGTTTCCTGGTGTCCATGACAGAGTCAGTAGATTAATGGTGGATGGTTTTAAATCTGACAGCAATACACTGTTTATTAGGGGTGTAGACTCGAACATGATTCATTATTATTACACTATTAACGTTCTTAATCCTCGATACCATGTGTAAGTATGAAAATCTAAAAAAAAAAAATAAAATTCACGACGCACTGTGAATATTTACACTTACACTCAAAATTCTGGAATTCTAAATGTAAGTTAATTTACCCGAAAACTGAATTAAATATTTGACATGGCGTAAATATTTACACTAGCACTAGAAAAAAAGTGCAAGTAAAATTACCCGAAAAACTTATAAAAGAAATTACGTCACTCAGACTAGGCGTTATTATTTAAAACACAAAGTTGAAGTACACATATAGTTACTCGTACACTATACATTATTAGACAGTTATTATTTGTAATCTAAAACACAAAGTTACTCAAGCTCTGGAATGTTATTATTTAAAATCCAAATCTCAGTGACAAGGGGTAAGAAAGTATATCTGTGGTTTAGAGAGTTTTTGATGAGATTGTAATAATTTTATTAGGTTATATACCTAGTAATTCTTCTCTCTTCTTTTTTTGCAGTGAGACTAATTTTGAGTATTTTAGGAAACTGGCTGACGTTAAGGTTGTTCGTCGTCTTCCAAATGGCATTTTTAAATCATTGGATTTACATCTCAGCTGTCAGTGATGTTGTTCTAAATATTGTGTTTACTTGGAATTTAGGATAACATTGCTTATTACTTCATCTACCTGTGGAAGTATTCATATATATTATTCTTCTAATTAAAATTATTGCAAGTCATACTGGTTACACTTCTGTAACTTGCCTTCTTTCAAGGACTTAAAAATTAAAAGTTACCATCACTTTGAGTGTTCACAGATGTGCGAAACAAATATGTCATTTTATGCCCAACTACTTGAACGTGTGATGAGTGAAATGACATATAAATATCCGAAACTATTGGCATTTCGTTTCCTCTGTCAAAAAAAGCATGAAAAGAGGGATAACTCAATTTATAAAACAGTAATAAAAAAAAACTACTGACTTATTATTTAGCATGTGAATGTCATAAACAGATTTATTTGATAACTGAAGCAGTGGCGGATCCATAGGGGTTTTTTGTTTGTTGTTTAACGTCCCTCTCGAGAATTTTTCACTCATATGAAGACGCCACCACTTGCCGGTGGAGAGCTACAAATTTTGACCTATACTCGGCACTCAAGGCCATTAAACAGTGAGGGATCTTTTTCGTGCCAACACCTACTGCGACACGGGACCTTGGTTCTACGGTCTCATCCGAAGGACCGGTCTCCACGTCCCACAGTGGGATTCGAACCCGCGACGTAAGGATGAACTCCTTACTCCGCGACTCTAGAGCGAACGCTCTAACGACTGCGCCACGCGGGCAATGATCCATAGGGGGTTACGGGGGGGGGGGGGTTGAACTCCCCTTTGATTTTGGTTTTTAAGAAAAAACGTAGAAGAGGTAGGAGATAAAGAAAAGGAAAGAGAGAGAGAGAAACTAATGGGATTTAAACAAACAATATTAAGTACACGCAGAATAGAAAGAAAAGTGTGGTTTCTTTTTTTTTTTTTTTTTTTTTTTAGAAACTTTATATCAGCCGAGCGCAAAAGTAATAAAAACCATGCACATCTATCAGGTCTATGTTTGATTATAATACATGTAAATCTTGACAAAATGAATTTTTAAAAAAAATGAAATTTGCGTTGATAATAAGAGGCGGATCCAGGATTTGAATAGGCAGGGAATTAGGGCTCTGAGAGCTCCTGAATTCTTGGGATTTCGTAGGGAAAAATGAACTCTTCTAAGTAAATGCTTTTTTTTACTATTTCTTTTTGTCATGAGTAAATCTAAAAATACTTATCTTCTGTGGAAACAAAGCCTTGAAATCAAGCCCCCAGAAGCTCTTGCCTTAAAAAAATATAGAAATAAAGGCTTTTATTATATACTTTTATCCGATAATTTCTTTCTTTTCAAAAATGAAACCATGTTTTATCTTAATTTTGACATTTGTACCCCCCCCACCCCCTTCTTTAAATCGGCCACTGGTCTGGGTCTCTTCAACAAGACATTGTAAAATTTTGCAAAAAATCAAATTTTAAAAACAGCTGTGATAAATTGAAGTCAGCGCTGATTTTGAAAGAGTTCATGTGATTAACTCAAAATGAAATGAAATTATATCAAAGATCCCCCCTTTTTATTATACGCAATATAAAATATATTGAGATAGATACATGTTTAATTGCATATATTCATTTACACAATCAAATCATTTAAGACATCGTATCGTATATACGAAAAATTAATCTTGTTAATGTAATTCCCACCATTTTCCAAACTAGCTGTTTCACGTGTGCTATCATGGCCCTGGTCTAAATGCAAAATAAACATACAAATGCGCAATCTTAATTATAACCTGTACGATTTTGGAATTAACGGGGAAAAAACTGCCTTTCAGATCGCCAGAATTTATTTAATCCATAGGCTCCAGGTGGCTCCTTCCCCCGCCTCCCCCCAATGGCTTTTCCCTGCATCCACTGGGAGTCTCAATGTAGCCTCTTATCCCATGCCTAATTTTCATATCCGGGCTGTACAGATTTTTATATAATCGAAGATATTTCTTTTCATCTTAAATCTTGAACAATGTTTTTATCTCATCTTACTCTCCAACATTTGTGTTTCCGACCATTTTTTTTAGTATATATGGAAGTTAATGTACATGTGTTATCATTACCTTAGACAGATATTATATTAATGCATTTAGCGAGATACATCATCACACACACACTCATATATCAATGTGCTGGATCATCCGCTGCCATTTATACTACTTAGTATTTTTTATAATAATTCAAGTTGCACACTTGAAATAAAACAAGGAAGCAGTATACATATGCACATGCCTTCTCTAAATGACAGTTCTTGGGGGAAAGAATCATGAAGGCGGCCTATTATATTTTACTCCTGCTGCACATGCACATGTACATAGCAATGATCAAATGAGGGGAAAAATCGAATCTAAATTCGATGGAGAGGGGACGATTTATGATGACACTGTTATTTGAGATCTAGGCAAACTCTACAAATCGATGAATGATACAGAGCAGTAAACGAGGCTGGACGAATAAATAAATATGAGGGAAAAGTTGAGAAAATTTTTTATTAAAAAAAAAAAAAGAAAGGAAAAAAAAAGGTAAATCAAATGGAGCTATTCATTGTTTATCAAGTATTACTTGAACTTGAAAAAAATCGTTTATAACTGAGAAATTAATATGAATTCAGAAAAAAAAGATTGGTTAATTTCAAAGACAGATATAACATTATTCATATCTCTGGTTGATTTTTAAAACGAAATATATCATTTTTTATTTTTGAATTTAATTTAATTTCATGATCTGTACGACTGTATTACAGATAGAGAATGGAGCGCTGGGACCGACTAAGACACCTGTGGAAGTAACGGCCTGACGAGGCATGCGTGAGATCGCGCATTCCGGAGCGACTGTTCTTGTAATCCCTCGAGCGTAAATTGCCGAGGACCCCCAGCAAAGCAGGATGCACTTCCGTTGACAATCTGCCTTTTATAGTCTGTTTCTTGGTGTTAAATGAGTTTTCGTAAAAAAGTGTTTCTAAATTTAAAACGTTTAATGCGCAGTTCATGTAATTTCAAAATCTTTTTTACGCAATCAAATTACATGTGATATTGGTAAGGATTTCTAAATTAGTTGCTATTTATAAAGATTTCTGAGCAAATAATGTAAATGAATACATTTAATTTCTTATAAAAATTATATACTTGACACATGCACCTATACAACTACTTTTGTCTACTATAATTTGACCTTAATTGTAACAATGGCGGATTTACATGGGGCCTGGACCTTCTCCCCCTGTTTCTATTTTTAAGCTTATGTGAAAACGTGATCCAGTGCTACACATTAACTTTCCCCTCGATTCCCCCAATTTAGCTTTTTTCATCATATGGTCTACTGACCACCATTTATGATTTTCTGATATATACTAGAATGTCTGTAAGACTTGGGGGAATTTTGTGCAGTATCTTGACCATTTAAAGATGGGACTCTCTGTAAAATTAATTACTTTCTTTGTTTACAAATTTAAAAGATGTCTATATCCATGATTTATTTAATTGTGTTTGGATTTTTCTGTTATTCCTAATTATGTATGTTCAACAGCTGTTCAAAGAGAAGAGTCCGTTAATTTTGCCACAGAGTGTTCTCCATTCGTTTTCATGTTCTGTATATAAAATAAAAAAGGATCATATAATTTTTTAACAGAAAAATTGAAAGAGGCCAGGGTCTTCATTACCATGCGCGGATCTAGAGGGGGGTCGGGGGTCTGGACCCCCTCTGGAATTTGCGTAGGTATTAAAAGTATATACTGAAGCAAATAAAAAATGACTTTGGACCCCCCCCCCCCTACCCCCAGAAAACGTGTACCCGCCGTTACCACCACGAAATAAGTGTTTTTCACGTTTTGGAAATGGAATTTACCTTTTTGTTTTGCTTGTCAAAAAATTTTTGGATTGGAATTTTTTTTTTTTGTCTGGGGTGGACCCCACCCCACCCCACCCCCCACCCCCTGGAAAAAAAATTCCTGAATCCGCGGTAGATTACATTTCATCAACTATAATATTACATAGGGTGAATATTGGTAAACCGTCTGTAAAAGAGTCAGTAGAAAAATCAACAACGTAGGATACAATATTATCCGTTGACGATAAGGAAATCCATTCTTCAAAAGGAAATATTGAATCAAGCTCAAAAGTCCATTGAAACAATACGAATCGGAAGCAGGGAAAACACGGACCTATAAAAGCATCAGAGGTGGGATCAGGTGCCATGGAGGTGTAAGCAACCCCTGTCGACCGGTCACATCCGCCGTGTGCTCCTTGTCATGATCGGGCAAACGGAAAAATCCTTAGACAATTCAGTAAGAAAATAATGGCCTAGCAATTAATATGAAAACGTCAGTCAGCATTCGACATAATGATAGATTGTATTTGCTGACAAGGTCATGTCGTTTTATCGACCCTAGAACTTGCGAAATATTGACCCCAAACGAGACTGTTGATATCCTTGTTTCATCAACTTGTTTGTCAATAGCTTGTCTCATTTTAGAAATTATTCGTACGTAGAACTTGCTCTTGCGTATCGAATCAACTGGGAGACAAACTCCATATGCAGGTGATAAGGGTATATTGCTACATAAATGAGGGAAGTTGACGATAGAAAAGTTGTTTTGTTTGTTTGCTAATTGTTTAACGTCCCTCTCGAAAATTTTTCACTCATATGGAGACGCCACCACTTGCCGGTGGAGAGCTTCAAATTTTGAACTATACTCGGCACTGAGGGCCATTGAGCAGTGAGGGGTCTTTTTCGTGCCAGCACCTACTGCGACACGGGACCTCGGTTTATACGGTCTCCACGTCCCACAGTGGGATTCGAACCCGCGAGGTAAGGATCAACTCCTGTTGAAGTCATCACGTTTTTCATAAAGTTTTGTTGTTAGGTTACCATTGACGTCTTTTTCTAGTAAATTATCTAGATATGAAAGAATTGTGTCAGGCTTTGTGGTATCCTTTCTTTCAAGATCACTGGGATATATCGAGTCGACATATGAATGGAAGTAACTATTGTTAATTGATAATACGTCGTCTATATATCGAGTTGAAGGCCACACTTGCAAGTGTTTTCTTCTCCGGCTCGTGTAGAAGTTTTTGAATAAATTCCGCTTCATTTGAATACAAAAATAGGTCCTCTTAGTGATAATTCTCTTTAAAAGTTATTATTGCTATGTTCTAAGGAAGTAATATCTCTCTCTCATATTTTAATAAACCAACCATATATAGATTAGTCTTGCAATACATATATTTGAATCCAGTCTATCTTTAAATCATTCCACAGTATATGTGTATAAGAAGTAAATTTTGGGAAACAAAATTCCATGGCATCGTGCAATGTTGATAAAATCCAAATAAAGGTCTATCCTCTCTCTCTCTCTCTCTCTCTCTCTCTCTCTCTCTCTCTCTCTGTATATATATCAGTTGCTGTACACTTTATATCTTACTACATAAGTTCCACAACAGTCTAAATAGTAAGTGGATTAAAATGACGTGAATACCTAATCTCTCTGGCCAACACAGAAGGTGAAGGAAAGTACAAGATAAATAAGACTGTCACAGTAATGGGACATACACACGTTTGGTTTATTCAGTAATTGCAAAATACATAGATGTAAACAACTGAAATTAACAACCTCCATATTCAAAGTCACCTTATTATAATGTGTTATACTTATTATACTTACCATGTTAACAAACAGTCGTGGAAAAAAGTCATACATACATAAACTGAAAATTGACAATTTTAACAGAATTCATTTTCATAATTGAATGTTCTTAAAAGTTTTGCTAAATTTTATCTCTTAAGTGAGGTGTATTATTTTTATTATATCAATATGTGTCATTAAAAAAACAGTCGTAAAATTATATATAAATATACATGTAATAAAATCATTATATTGAATTGGACATCAGGGTAAACTGTTAAAAAAAAATAGCGTAATTGTTATAGATAAGACTTCAAATATGTTACTCTGAAATGTCAAAAAGTTTCATTGTCTCCTCAAATTTAGGGGGGGGGGGGGACTTAGCCCCCCACTTTTTTTGCAAAGATAGACATAATATAGCCATGCATTGAACATTGGAGCGTAGGTTTAGCCCCCCAGCCCAACTTTCAACGGGCACACTGCAGAGTAATCAAGGAAGGGTAAGTGGTAGCGTGTGAAAAAATTGGTACTGAAAGAAGTTGGATCCCCCCCCCCTCACAAAATAGGATTTTCGGGTTTGGACAATTTTCAATTTTCCTTTTTTTTTTTTTTTTTTGCTTGTCAATTTTTTTTCAGGTTTGAAATTTTTTTCTCTCTTTCAATTACCCCCCCCCCCACTTTCAATTTGCTTCCGACGCCTATGTATGTCATGACTTTCCCCTGTGTTTGTGTGTATATATGGACACTAGATAAACATAAAATGGCGTACGTGTATGGTCTCGTAATACGAACATATACAACATAGACTTCGAAATCAAAAGGTCAGGGTCATCCAGTGAGAAACTGGACATAGTGATGATGTGATGGATGGAAAATCATGCTATCATTATAGTACGGAAATAAAAGAGAAAGCTTTCAAAACGCCGAGTGCTTAATTGTGCTTGCACCGTACACTGAAGTCAACTTCAGATATCACCAGAGGGGGTGAATGTCAAAATTTGCAAAATGACATAAATTTTAATATAACATGTAATTATGAAAAAAAAAACTCATATAAAACAACAATAAAAAAAATCCAATCTCAGACCTAGCTGTTCTATGCCTTGTTTTCCGGTTGTTTGTATATAGGAGTGACTTCAATCACAGGCGCGGCGTACCTATAAATTTTTATTGGTAGTTTCCGTAAATAAAAAAGAAAACGTAATACCTGCAGCTATTAATAGGCATTACGTATTTTTTATCTACTGAAAAATATTGTTAAAATATCAATTACGCCGAACTAATGTGTTTCGATCATCACAAAGGGAATCTCTCTCTCTCTCTCTCTCTCTCTCTCTCTCTTGAGATTAAGGCATTTCCACCCTTCTGTAATGTCATAAGTTTTCGCAAAAACTGTTATTAATTTAAATTCATACCCAATAGAAATATATCTTTTGGGAGAATGTTTTTCAATAGGTGAACTGAAAAATATTGTTCAGTAAAAGAATTTTAAAAATTGAATATTTCTTTATTTAATTAATTATGCAATCTTTAAAAAATGTTGCTAAGGGCAATAACTCCTCGAGTATCTTTATTCATACATTTTCTTTATTGTACTTCTAATGTAAAATGGTTTCCCTAATATTCACAAATCAAACATATTTATAAAGTAACAATTATTTTTGGAACTTTCAGCATCAGAATTATGTATTTGAACCAGTTTTTACATAATTTTAATAGTACTGTTTACTAAAAATGTACCATTTTTTATGGTGATATATACATGTACTTCTGTTTATTTAAAAATATGGCAACCTATACATTTTTTGGCTTATTAATTACTTTAGACTATATATTCATTGAAAATAAATGCAGTGTTTCTATTTTGAACCCATAAATTTGTTAGGGTGGAAATGTCTGTTTTCTAATCCTTATTGGATTTATACAATAATATATGTTTAAACAAAACAAAACTTTACCAAGTTGAACTTTTCCTGGCGAAGAAACAATCAAAAGATAGGCATGCAGGGATGAACAAACTTCAACCGGAAAAGTTATGTTACTTGTGTCTCTCTTGTTATGTTTCAGTCGAAAATGATATATTTAAAAACAGCTTACAGAGACAAAAGGGTTTCATTATCGATAACATATAGTGCATATTAGAAAACAAAAAAGGGGACACGACCCCAGATTTAAAAAGAAAGAAAAATTGAAAGGGGGGTCCATACCCCCAAGTGCCTGTGTTTATGATTATTTTTTTTAATCAAGGAAAGAAAAACATTTCCACTTAGAAATAATATTAAACGGTTATGAAAATTTGTCGATTTCTGTTTTAAAAAATAGCTCTATTATGAAAACATTTCCGTACACCCCTCCCCCCTTTTAAACCCAATAGAAAAATCCACGTTTTGTACGAATCCTCTTCAGAAAATACATTTACATGCATGCGTGAAATATTGATTAGGGTATTATGTCTTAAGAAGTCACAATTTCTTTAACAGGTGCCCATTTTCCTGAGTACCTATTTTATTATTTTTCTATCCCCCCCTCCCTATAAAGTATTGTTTCAAATTGGAATTTAAGTTCATCTTTTTTACAATTGATAAATTAAGTAATAAATTTACATCAAGTTCCTGAAAATACTACATAGATATTAAAGCTCTGCAAAACTATCGATTCAACCAGGAAAATTCGTTCTGGGGAACTTCCTAGTTCAATATTTGTAGACATGTAAAAAAAAAAAAAAAAAAGAAAAAAGAAAAACTGTAAAACGTATATTGTACCTGATCCCACCTCTGATGTTTTGGAGGTCCGTGTTTGCTCTACTCCTGATTTGTGTTGTTTAATGGACTTTTGAGCTTGAATAATGTTCGTTATTTCCATATATTTCATCATTAAGTTAAATGCTGACTGACGTTTTTCATACCAATTGTTGGACCATTATTTACACACTGAATTGTTGACGGATTTTTCCCGATCATAAAAAGAGCACACGGTGGGTGTGACCGGTCGGCAGGGGATGCTCACTCCTCCATGGCACCTGATCCCACCTCTGATGTTCTGGAGGTCCGTGTTTGCTCTGCTCCTATTTTATAATGTTTAATGGACTTATGAGCTCGAATACTGTTCGTTTTCTCCACAATTTCATTGTATGATTTTTTTCTATCGGGTTTAAAGGGGGGGGGGTGTTTTCATAAAAGAGATATCTTTAAAAAATCGGCAAAATTTCATAATATGATACTTATTACATGTATGTATATACATGTATTATAGACCCTTGCATGTATTTTTCTCGGATTTAAAAAAAAAACTTTTTCTTTTAACATTTTAAGAGGGAAAAGATGTTTTATTGATTTATTAATCTAATAAATTTATATTTTTTATTTTTGTTATTTTATTTATTTATTTTTTTAAACACTTTTAGGGATATGAAGAACATTATTTCAATGCATTTCATTTTACTCCACTTTTTAAATTTTGACATTTTTTGTTTCAAAATATTTTAAAAACAGATGGAATGAGCTACTATATACTAATTTATGACGCCTCTTAAGTAGCTACTTGTGATCCGCCTATATCATCTTAAGGTGCCAGAAATAGACTATAAGGCGGGAATCGATGCGAGAGCATTCATTCACCGATGTTTTCCGATAAGTCCCGATGTGGGCAATGTGTACCTGGGCATATTTTTGTACAAAAATCTAATGAAACACTGCTATCCATTTTATTCAGATGATGTTTACACACGATCAAGTAAGAAATCAACTGTAAAATAGTTTGAAATCATTTATTTTTCCATCTCAATTCTCAACCCGAAAGTCTGACGTCACGAAAAGATCATCAACAAAGTTGAGAATTTGGTGAGAGAGACTTGACTTTCAGACGATCATTTACAAAATTGTGACCTTGATGGTCAACCAAGAGAAGTCCCGATGATAGACTAAGGATTAATCTCCGCATCTGGGCAGTCAATTTGAGAAGCTGTTGACAAAACAATAGCTTATAGCCCGGGAATGTTCAACAATATTGGTTAAGGACCGCCATCTTGGACTTCTAACTCTGCGAGTAACGACTCTAAGCAGTTCGTGTTTTTCAGACGGTAGGGAGAAAATGTGGTCAGATATGCAACAGTCATACACTTTAAGGTTCTATCAATGCATCTAGGGCCCAATTTTGGATGCATTTGATGATATTTTTGAGGGAACATCGTTTTAATTGTGCTACGTTTGATCCCAAAATGGCCTCCCAATACTCTCGTCCTTGGTATCGTTATAGCTGACACTGTGGCTGAGCCGTGTCGCATTGCATGGGGCGAAAAATTTACTTGGCCATCTTGGGACATCCAATGATCGATTTGTGGGACTTCAGTTTATGGTTAATGAAGTCTATAGCATTATTTTTCACTTTTTTCAAGACCCATGGTTTTTTGAAAGATAATTACATTATGTAGAATGATAGTGATACAAAGATAATTTTCACAGAGAAGCCATTGAACTTGTGGTTATCAAAGGGTTGTTTTCATGCTCAGTATGTTGACTTGCTCTCAAGTTGTCATGCTAATCTTAAAAATATTTTTAACTTCTCTAAACTTTCTGGTCATAAGAAAAATCAGTTCTGAAACTGATCTTTATTTTGTATACAAATTGATCAAGTTAAATAAAAACCATGTTGTAGAGTACATACCATTTAATATCTATTTAATATCTTGCACAACCCCATTTAGACACCTTTTTGTCATACTAAATTCCATACGTTTATTGTAAGTCGAAAGATGAACAGGTTAGTTTTTTTGTTTGATAAGCAGAAAACAAAAAGCAAGTGTGAACTGGTTTTGGTTATGTGCATAGTTAAGCAATACACATGTACCTAGAGCATGTGTTACATCTGAGTCACCAGTTTTATGTCATTTTTCTTTTTGGAAGGAATTCAGATCGTGTTAACTTTGTGATACTATGTGGTCCAGCGGTTAACTTATCTGTATATTGGTGCAGGGGTTCATTTCCTCAGACAACTGATGCTACTTAAGACTGAAAATTAACAAAATTTGTTTTTAAATGATAGATAAATATCATGATAATAGAATTGACATTTAACATGATTGTTTAATGAATCAAAATATTTTTCTAGTTTTTTTTAACTGGTTACATTAAGGTCATTTGATATTTAGCCATCTTCTTCATTGGTCACATCTTCAACATGTAACCATACAAATAATTCCAGGTCAACTCGGTATCATCATGATCATGCAGAAGCATGTTATTCTTAAACTTTTAAATTAATGAAATATTTACAGCATCACACCAATTGTCATGATCAACTATGATGACTTGAAATCACCATCTCCCCCCAAAATATTTTTTGAGGCATTTTGTCCCATATTATATCGTCGTTCATTATTATCTATGAATTAAGGGAGGGGGGCCTTAATGTTTCACCTAGGTTATATGGTGATTATATGGCTATGCTCTGTGTATTTTGACAATCTTTTCCACACACTACAATACTAATAGTTTAAATTCATATTAATGACATATTGTACACTTTTAATGTGTCATTAGAAGTCAATTGTGTGACATGGAAACAACCCACCAGTAGTGACCACCCTATTCCCCTACCTATCTAAATGCTTACATTGTGTACAGGTGGTGTATAAACTGCATAATGATATAGACCCTATACAAATGTAATGATCAGATAGTTTGTTGAAAAGAATAAATACGACTGAACTTCAGCATCTTTGATACCTCAGAAAAGCATGAATATGTCTAATGAAAGTCCCAACCACTTTTCTTTATGTATTTTAACCCCAGTATCTGGAGTTCTCAGATATCTCTTAGTTTCTTAGTCCCATTGAGTTTGAGATATCAAAAGTATTTCTGCGTATTATTTGAAACGCATATTCCATCCGAACATCCTTACCGATTGAAGAAAGCTTGACTCCTGTAACTGTTTATATAGAAAACGTATACCACAGCTAGAGCTTTGCTTATGTGACATTACCAAAGCTGTTCTATACTTAATTTAATGTTATATCTAGGACATTCATTGTCATCCCATGATGAAGGAAGTAGGGCTGTGTAGTTATATAGTGTTAAATACATATGTCATGTTGGAGAAAAACCTTATATCATGCACATTAAGACAAGTTGTGTTATCAATTAATGCCTAATGATTCTGGTTGTAAGTTATGAATGCAATTTTTGATTCATGGCCTGCAGAATTTAAGTGGCATTCAGAGTATGGGAAATAAATATCTTTTTTTACCTGTTCTGTAGACATAAAATATTGTGTAAATCGGAAAAAAAATCTCTATACCTTCTTTATTCCAAACAATCATTGTAAAGTTAATAAGAATCTTTATTCCTGATTGTAATTGTTCAATATTTTTTGATTTCATGTTTTTTTTCCACAGGCCTAGTCGTTATGGAAAGCAATGTCAACTTGCAGAGTCTCGATCCACGAAAGCAAGAGTTACTAGAGGCGCGGTTTCTTGGCAGTAGGGTAAGTTATTTACTGTTTAGTTACAATTTTTAAGATTCTCCATCTTTTGTGATTAAAGATGATTTTTTTTATCCGACAAGTTGTGTGTTCTCTGTCATGAATGGACAACACATAACAAGTTGGATAGAATCATGTCCAATCGCAAAACATTGGAGTTTTATTTTACAAAATGTTTTCGTCTACTATAACCAATCAGTGTTCCTTCAACATGAGTTTCTTAATTTTTTCATTGTCAAGAGACACAAGGCATGCTGAATATTTTAAGAAACAAGGTTTGCGTCACCGGGTTCACAGGTGCATGAAAGTTAGTCAGTATATCAGGTAGGGGTGAAATGATACACCTCCTTCATGGTTCGATACCTATTGTATAATTTTCGCTCGGTACGGTTATTTTCGTTACGATACATTTTGATGGAAGGAAACAAATTCAGCCTTGTTTTATGCTTTCTTTTACTAAATCTAGTCACTTCATTTACGAATTTTTATTTGCTAATTGACTAGAAGAAATTGATTAGAATTATTTGATTGTCAAAAATTATTTTACAAATTATCAGTTATCAAAAATTTACGTTTTCTATACTTATTTATCCTGAGTAACATGTTTAACTCGACTGAACAACGATCTCGACCGAAAAATGAACCAAAAATTAGAGATTTTGCACCATGTATCAAACCGAGAAAGAATACCACGGTGAATCGATACTGCGTTGAACCGTTTCACTCCTAATATCAGGTCTCAATAGCTAAGTGGTTAGAGTGCTAGCACCGTAAAAAACCCCGCAATATTATTCTTTTGTGAACTGAATTCTACATATTTTCTGTCCTCTGTTACTTGTGTATCACAGCCCCCAGTCAACCATTCACTAGGGTTTCTTTAACGTCAGAGAATCGAAGAAGAATCACATTGGTGAACATATTGCGATAATGGGAGAAAATGGTTTTACTCGCCTTAGACTTCTCTGTATTGATATCAACAATTGAAAATATGCGTGATGAAATAATGGGGGAAAAGTGCATTTCTTAAGGATGATCTTTTGTCATTATTTACTTCATAAAATTTTTATTAATTGTTAATATTTTTGCATCAGTTCACATTTGCTAATGCACACCCTTCTTTTATTATTGTTTATTAACAAAAACATTAACGGTAATTAACGCAATATTTACTAATATTTTCCCGCATAACTGATAAATACCCAGATATTTGATTTAATTATCTTATATTCTGACAAGTACAAGGTTTACATTATATCTGTTGACAAAGTTTTCTAAATGTTATATATATATAAGCAGAATAGATGTACTCTTTAAGGAGGGGGGTGATTGAGAAGGTGTTTTATGTCCCATTTGAGAACTTATCACTCAGATAGAGGTGACACTGCATGCTGGTGAGGGGCCCGGGCTTCAAATTTAAACCTTTACTTGGTACTCAGGACCATTGAGCAATGAGGGCTCTTTACAGTGACAGGGGACCTTGGATTTAAGGTGTCATTCGAAAGACCCTTGACTTTCACTTCTAATGCCAGGCACTTGATCATGATGGTAAAGGAACAGTCGCTACCTATATTTATGTAGAATGTCTGATGCTGTTGGGTGAATGAGAATCAGGAACTCCTGATCACAAAGCGAACACCCCACCACTTGGCTACTGTGACCAGTCCGTGAGGGGTAGATGGTACATATACATTATTATAACAGTAACTTGATCCGAAGAGTCGTATCACGTCGAGTTGACAGGCACGGATCATCAGATCAAACGAGACGCGAAGCGTCGAGTTTGATCTGATGATCCGCGCCTGTCAAAGAGACGTGATACGGCTCTTCGGATCAAGTTACTGTTATAATGATAAATTTATTATATACCCCTTTTACAACTAGCAAAATGTAGTTTTAAAAACTTTTGAGATTAATTATATAAGATTTTTCCATTAAACAAAGCATTTTGTCAAGGAACTTTTTGATGCACATGAAAAATAACGTCATGTTTCTGTGTACTACGTCAACAATTTCAGAGAGGGGTGATATGGATTCAGAAAACCACAGTGTGGTGATCCAGATAGTCGGATCACACCATCACGTAATTGTACGAAATCTACAGTAGAATTGAGTGATACACACTTGGGTATATAATAAAGGGTTTTATTTGGCCAAAATTCTAGTCTTTGCATTCAGAATGTAGTTTTATTTCTTGATAACAAATTTTACTTTTTTGGCTGTCTGACTTTGATAACCTACTGGACAGTGGTAGGATTGTGATGTTGCTTGCAGACTATCAAACTGATGTTTGAATTCACCTGATCTAAATTCCTGTGTTAACTTTTTCTGTTATGCCCTATTCACACGAAGAGTTTAATTCGAATTAAACGTAAATTACTGTGAATTCAATGTGAACCGCATTCACACGGGGAATTTAATGCAAATTAGTTTAATTAGAATTAATTAACTGCGCATCAAATTACTTCGCATTAGCTCCATGTGAATGCTAAACGAAGCTAATTTGAATTAAATTTTGACGCATGTGTAATGGCACAGTTAAGTCACATTCCACATGTCGGTGGTCATATATAGGAACTTATGCTATTTTGTAGTGGAAAACAAAGAAAAATTATGTTAATCACTGAAATGTGTATAGTCATTATGACAGAATGTCACATGGGTTTGCTCCGCATAAGGTGACGTGATTTGAAAATGATGTCATACTAGCCTTACTGAATAGCCTTACTGTAGAAATAAAATTTTAATTCACATTAGTTTACTTCCCATTAGCTGTCGTGTGAATGCAATTTAATTCGCATTATTTTAATTCGCAGTATTTTAATTCGCATTATTTTACTTCGCATAAATTTACTGCAAATTAAACTCTCCGTGTGAACAGGGCATTAGTCTTCTCCTTCACGTTCCCTTGTTTTGTAACAAATATACCAAAACAGAGCTCAGGTTCTATTGTGATATAACTGTAGTCTTTGGAAATCTCTCAGATTATAGTCACCCTGGGATTTTAAAATAGTGGGTCAGTTTAGCTTAAACATGGAAATAGCAATGCTAAGCATTACCCCAGACCAAAGAAGAAATAAGCCATGATGTAATGTTCTAAATAGAATTAAAGTGATTGGAGTCGCTGACAGTGGACTAGGGTGGGGACCGTAGATTATTCTTTTTTGTAAACAGTGATCAGGATAAGAAAAAAGGTAAATGTGACAATGACACATTCCAAGTCAGTGTCAGTGTGACTTTTCTAAAATCGTAATATTTTTTAGGGGACGTATTGAAAATGGCAGGTTTAAATTTGACTTGATATTAAGGAATTCACTTCAAAATTAAGAAAAGTCTGGCCTTTCTCTGGACAAGGATTTTTTTCAGCAGCATATCTTCAACTTCGTGTGCATTAATGTCTTATTATCTATTTCGCTACAATTTAATGTGTATTTAAGCAAGGGTTTGAGAGAAAACCAATATCAGATGAAAGATATAATGTTTAACAACAGACTGATCAAAGTTCATTTTCATGTGTTCAGTACTTCTACCCAAGTGTGCAAAAGCAGTTAAAAATTTTAGTGGGCTCCTATAAACTCGATAAAATAAGCCAATGTTAGCACCCCATTAAAAATTTCCATGATACAGTATTACATTTAAAGTGAACAATATTTTGAAGAAATAAATTTCTTAATAAGTTAACGTAGATTTGATTCAGCACATTTCTGAATGTGCTACATACAAGAGATTAGCAAATATACTTGATTTAATTACAGTTGCTTCCCACCAAAAACAAAGGCAATACATAGAATTCACATCTATATGTACTTGATAATGAGATTATTTAACGTAACTCTTGTGTGTAGGAGGTAGGAAATGTCTATTAGCTGGGAACAATTCTCTGTTCATTGTGATGTTGAGTACACCACAGGATCTGGTCACTGTAGATTTTTAAAGACAAATAAAACAAAGAAGTCCTGTTAAAATATCTCGCAGAACATTTGGTGAATTTAAGTGGAGC